ACTCATCTAAAATAATATTAGAAGATAATCTGGACATATTTCTTGTTCACTTAAGTGAACGAATTATAACGATTTATAGCAATTTATTGATTTATAGCGTTTTTAGCAACTTTTTAGTATCTTATACTAATGGATAACATGTTTCAAATTTGCCGGTTAAGCAGTTTTAATGATTTATAGCGGTTTTATCGATTTGTAGCCAATTTAGAGAGACTAAACTCAAATTCATCTTTCGGGCTAAGCTAATCTTATATTTACATGCGTCTTCGGCTAAATCAGTTTGTGGCATGATGTACTGTATATCGTATCACATGATATCTCTACCAGTTCCCTCAATAGTTCTAGGGTTTCGATAAATCACGAGATGGTTGGCCGTAATCAGATTTCAGATTTTTTCTTTAGCCGGATAGCCTGAAAAATGATTACGAATAAAATGCACATGTTCGAGATGATCGGCTAATTTAGTCATATGGATTCTTATTCGAAATCTTATTGGAAAGAAGTGTGACATTAATGTCACAGCTAAACCAATGAAATCTGGCAAAGTTTTGGAACAGAGTTATGGGTTATGACAATTTATATGCTGAAATGAAAACCAGAAACTTTATGATTTTTGCTCTGAGAGCCGTGACATTAGTGTCACACTACTTTACAAATAAAAAATCAAAAATGGCCGTAGCCAGTCCTAAAAGGACCCTTTATTATCAAGAGTTACACAAAATACATGTAATAGATGTCCCTAATCTCATATGCGAAATAATGATTGCCGGCAAAAATATCCATACCCGAATATTGTTTTGTAAGTATGATAATAGCGTGGCCGGAGACATGACATGCGAAAATAAAGTTGAAAAAATAATGTGAATATATATGCCAATCTTACGTCGCACAGCCCCTATTCCTTCGGCAATAATTTTACCGATATTGCACTGCGCATCTCAGTTGACCCAATCTCGCTTCAAGTTTCGATATAGCAATATAGCATTAGCTGAAAGTAAGATTAGCCAAATTATTATTATATCACTTTACATATGTAAAAATACATCAAAGATTGACTCCAGAACTCTTTAACATATACGCAAATATTATGCTTTATTCTATTTGAAATTCATGCTTTTTGCTTCTTACATTTTAAAATTGAGAAAATATATAATTATATTATTGTTGGATGATTAAATTATTTAACAGTGGACACTTTCAAGATGTTTTATGAGTTCATAAGTGTTGTTGAAAGCATTATTACAATGAGGACAATTGGCTTGAACTTGAGGTTTTGGAGGTACTGGCGGTGGCTGATCAATAAACCCATATATTAATGATAGAGTTTATAGCATAGAAATAAAGAAATAAAGAAATAAGGAATAGCAACGTACCGGATCAATAATTCTATCAATTAAAGACATATCCAACTCAAAACCTGGCAAAACATTTTCACTGCTAATATCTCCCCATCTAGGATTACTACGTCTCCTACCCCTCCTATATATGTAAATTCGCTTATGTTGGGGATCGATCAGCCAGCCAAGCTGGACCACTGTGCTTTGTGTTATGAGTTCTTCTTTAAATCTTTCATCCGCTTCCTTGAATTTTGAATTATCTGTATCCTCTCTGATATCAGCAACTTCAACAAGAAATGTAGGGGTGAAAGGAGCACCCTGGAAGGACCAAGCCTGTGCATCAGTCAGCCGTTGGACTATATGTTGGGGCATGAAAGCAACGTCTGGTGCCCTAATCGCTGTTTCATGATCAACGTTCAACGGTAAAATCAAATCCACCCTGCGATGAAGTGACACCACCACCTTGTTGAGTTTGTATATTCCAGTTGGCCAACTGCCGAGTAATTTCTGCAGCCACTTGTTCTCTACGGCACGGTGTTTGTGGCATGGGTACTAGTTTTCCGTTTTCGTCAAGCTCAAAAAGGTTAACAGGGTGTCCGTCGATTTCCAAAGTATAATTTTTCAGCCGGTTGTTGATATACTCGAACTCTTCCAGAGTGTAGGAGCGTTTGAGGTCTAAATTATTAAGGTCTATTTCTTGGTTACAAGCTTTGGGTGTTTTGGCCATGTTTTGTAAGTGAAAATTTGGGAATAAAAACAATTTTTTTTTAATTTCTCATGCGCCGTCGTTTTATTGATTGATTATCGATTGATAAGACCGATCAAATTGTTTGGCTGTCCTATCTGTCCATGCTCGAAAATAGAAAATACAGTAGATCAAGAATATCTTGCCTTTATTTTTTGGAGATTCTCCTACTTTTTAATATCTCTTGAACTCGAAAGAAGTAACAGGAGTTGAAATTTATCGAGAAAGTGGGGAGAAAAGGAATATAAAAATTTTTTTCTGTCGCACCCTAACGATTGGATCATTTCAGTTGAATTTCACGTGACTTAGCGTTAGCGAATGGGAGTCTTGACTTATGTCAAGAGGATTGTGTAGATGGACGATCCTGTCACAAGAAATTAGTGCAACAGGAATTGATGGACGAGAATCACGTTTTACAGTACTGCATATAAAAAAAAGTATCGTCACATCGCTACTTTTTTACATAACAGGAAGATTCTTTCATGGTACTTTATTAATGAATGACGAGTTAACAGAAAAAAATAAATACAAGTGCAGGACTAGCTCACTGTACACGATAAAGTTTCTATGCTACAATTGCAAACTTAAGTTTTTTGCTTGAAGTATTGCAGGTAAGACAATATTCCAACTTATCTTGGGAATACAACTTCGCTAATTCAGGATCATAAGGGAACTGATTCCCATTTTCGCAGTACCATGAGCCATGTAATCCATAATTCCCATGTTTTCCATCACAAATAGAGCATGGTGAGCTCCACGGCTGAGGTAATGCAAAATTATAATTATCAATTCCCCTAAAACTATTTCGGAATTTCAAGTATGGGAAGTGCTCTAAAACGGACTTGATAATTAACTCTTGATCAGGTTTGGCTTTGAAAGTGATAGGCACTTCTTCCTCACATTGCTCGGGAAAAGATGATGCTTTGTTTTCTGGTATCGAATTTATAACTTCCGATTTATGTACTTCTGATAGTTGCCATGGCTCATTTCCAGTTTCTTTTTTATATCTTTTGTACAATTTGGAACGAATCTTATCTGTCAAAATACTTGGTAACCCAGCTAATTTGTCATGCCAATTCAGATATTCTGTAGTTAATATTTTATCGGGCTTGGTCATGTTACCTTTTTCTTTAATTGCAAATCAATCTAATTAGGTATTAGCTGATATGTGTAAAAAAATAAATAATAAAGCAAATGTAGTCTCAAAATGACCTGACTATGCAACTATCTCAATTTCGCGCTGTTCACATTTAATAAAATAGGATCTGGTTTCATATCTACCTTCTATACCATCCTCATCATCATGATCTAACTTACATAATGGACATGAAGTCTCGTCGGTAATTCCATAATAATCGAACTTTTCACTACTAAATTCTCTATATAAATTAGGATATTGGTCCAATGCTTTGTTGCGAAAATAGGTGCGGTCATAAGTTGGACTATTGGGTTGAGAAATAGGTGGTATCACCTCTACCTTGGTATCAAATTTTTTCGGGGCAGATTCATTGGGAACTTGAGATTCAGTAGGCGCATCCGAAATGGTGATATGTGATAAGTCAGAATTTTTCTTATCACTTTGTGAACTTGGTTCACAAAGTTGTGTCTCCATATGAATGCTATAATCAAAGGGTATATTGTCAATAATATACTGGATGTCTTCATACGTCATTTTTGAGATAGAATCAGCGGAGAAGGAATGAATTCGCTTTATTTTATCCATACCTATTGCATTAAAAAGTGTATAGAGCTTCTTGGCCTGCTCGATTCTTTTCCGTAAAAGTGCATCAGAAGTACCAGTAGGAAGCTGAGCTTTAACTTCTATATTTAGAATTCTACTGACTGTATTAGACCCCGGATCGACTTGTTTTTCAGATGCGATCTCACCTCGCCTCTGGATAAGAGCTTTCCCAAATTGACAGTAACAAAAGATAGCTTCTTGGGTCGCACGATCAGCAAGGATTACGGCATCACAAAGTTTTTCATATAAAAGAGAAAAGGTTGGCGTTCTCATTTCTACTGCTAAGGGATCACAGCTTCGTATTGTTTTCTCTAGGCAAACATCCAAAGAATTCGAGCCTAGCTCATCTATAATATTGGAACAATTGGTGCTTGAATCCTATTCTCTTTGTGAAGATACTGAAAGTATCGAATCATTCGAGGTTACTTCAGTGACCGCCCCCTCGGACACTTCCTGAATGAATTTTTCCCTTTGTTTTTTCTGATTTTCCTTACGAAGTGCCCTTTTGTCGACTGATACCTGTTTACCTTTTTCAGGAGAGATGGATTCCACTTTTGCAAGCTTCTCATCCCGCTTTCTCTGCCTTATCCCATCACTAACAATTTTCTTATTCACTTCATCCAGAAAAGAGTCCATCATCTTTTCCTCCGACGACTTGGAATTGACAGATACCACTTCATTCGCTATTACGGAGTCTGGTATGTCAGCAAGTTTTTTGGGAGAGGAATCCTTTCGTGGATGCCTAGAATCTTCTTCCAGCTTTGCAACTCTAGCCTTAAGCTCAGCATTCTCAGCATCACGCCTGACATTTTCAACATCACGTCTAGTATTCTCGACGGCAGTATCTATTCTAGCTTTTTCTAATTCCTCGATTCTATTCCTGAGCTCGGCCCTTAACTTTGTAATCTCATCCTTGGCCTCGTCATACTTGACCTTAAACTCAGCATTCTCAGCCATAAGTCTGGCGTTTTCTTGCCTAAGTAAGTCCATCTCGGATGTCATTTTCGAAAATAATTTTATACACTGTATATTTACATTCAAAATAAAAAATTCACGTGATTCCACTTTGTGAACTTAGTTCACGAAGAAAAATTTCCAAAAAAAAAAATTTTTATTAATACATGCACAAATCGGGAGCTAGCCCGTGATACATGCTATAATTTCGTTTTACAAAGTGAAATGTTTCTACACTGAGCTACACCAGTTTTTCTACAACCTATACTAATACATTATCCCAACATTAGCTCCATGATCCGGTTTCATTTGTCCTAATAACCGATATTCTGGATAAAACAAAACAGTCGTCAGTTATATGAGATATGAAATGTCGCAAAATGTGAATAACATTAGCCTTAATAAAGTTAACGGAAGTTAACGAAAACTTACGTTGTTTGCATTCCGTGATGTTAGTAAGGTCTTCGGGAATCTGTACGAAAAAATCGTCATAGTTTGCAAGTCCAGAAGTTGCTTCATTGCTAAATGCACAGCCACAATCAAAATATTCATACCTTATTTGAGTAATTCACGTCCGGAACTGGAACTTCAATAATTCTTCGTCAACGCTTCTTTCAAACTACGGTTTCTGTTCAGGCATATTATTATAAGTCAGTGTACTGCGCTTTATTTTTCTGTTGCATCTGTTACACACACAAAGCCACATTAGTCAGATCGACGAAAATTTTATATAAATATCCGCCCTGATGAAATAATTTTTCGTTTTACAATTCACACGAGAATGTCGATCGAACGGCGAGAGCCCGAGGTCAAATAAGAGTAATTTGTTGTCGTATCTCACTGCCGATTACGTAATAAAATGTCAAATGGTTTGATTAAACATGATCTGGTGAATAGTCACCATGTAAAAAGGTGCTTTTATTGATGATGTGATTGTGAATTACTATGAACGTGCTGTGACTCAAAATTACAAACGCTTTTTTATGTATATAATGTGCCTCAAACCTCCAAAAATGTCTCCTAACTATTTCTCATTTACTTTCGTAAAACAGATACATTATGGTTGGTTGTTTCATCTTAGGAAGTGGTATTGTTTTCAACTTTGAAATCGGTCGATACAGAGACTTTACACAATTAAAGAAGGCCATTTGGGAGGAGGATAAAGAATACTTTGAAAGAGATGGAATCACAAACGAAAAAAGATTTAAATTATGGAAGGTTCAGATCTCCACCAAAAATAACAACAAGTATGATAAACTTCTGGAGAATCATCATGAAGATCTTGACGTTAAAGAAGATTTCGGTGGTGAGCGGTTAGACGAAACCTGGCGTATTGATTCAATATTTAAATGCCCTCCTCCAGAAGAACACATTCATATTATGGTGCAACCCCCACCGCCCGCCACCACTGGTAAGTGTCTCCCAATGGTTTACCTCTCGAACAAGAAATTCGCGTTATCTCACATTTTTTTTTTATTCGATTAGGGAAAAGAAAAGCGGACGATTTGGACTTGGACGAGACAAATATATCAAAAAAAGAGAAACTAATAGGTAATATTTATCTTTACATTGCGTGGAGAATATAAACATCTTCGTATTCTTGCCTCATGAAAGCAATATGTGATACTAACATTTTTCCTGTTATTCTCATACGATCTAAAGATCTTAGTTCTCCTGAATCAATAGTAAGATTTTTTACGGAGGACGATGAGAATAAAAAATGGATCAAGACTGATTTTGCAAAGCCACTCAAACTGTGCAATAATAAATTTAATTTCGAAAGAGAAGGTCGAGATGATGCACTATATCAAGTATATGATTATATCTATGACCGGCATTGCAAAATTAGTAATGCAAAAAGTCCTGGCGCTAAGGAGTTACATCCTCTTTTTGCACTTCAATCTGCACCAGGAGGGGGAAAATCATTCTTTTTTGACGAGTTAGCTAGTTTGAAAGATGAAGATATCAGTCGTTATTTAGAAAAAAAACATTCTGAGCGCATTAATAATGAAAATCTTAAAGAAGTTATAAGTATTATTCGTAATTCAATCAGCATTTGTATTACATACAATGGAGGTTCACCATATAATGGTGGAGACATTCGAAAAGGATTAATAATGCGAATTTTATGGAGTTATTTTTTTGATGAGAATAAGTTAACTTGGAGTGTTTTTTGCAAAAAATTTGGAAAATGTTTTGTTTCGTTAGATACTTATACAGCAATTGATAGTATCATTCATCATTCAGGGAAATCAGTACTTTTATGTATTGATGAGACTATGAGAGTATTACCAAAAGGCCATGGTGATCTCGAAAATATTAAGACACTATTGAATGAACTCTACAGACCCTATCGGGATTTTTCAAGATTGGCTAACAAATTCTATTTCGTTATATCTACTCTTGATACACTTAATGTGTGGAGTACCCAAACAGACTCACAAAGACCAATTTGTTGGATACCATTAAGAAGGCTCGTTCTTTCAGAATCAGCAAATTTATTTCGTACATTAGTAAGAAATTTGGATGAACATAGATTGTTTGTTATTAAAAAATGCATCTCCGATTGTAATGGACACCCAAGGACCTTGGAGAAATTTTATCAAGTTATAAATGTCGAAAATGGTGATGATACAACCTTAAATACCGATAATTACAGTTCTCTTATGGAGCGTTTGGCAAGAAATCTTAAGCAATTGCTTGGTAGAATTTCTCTTCCTATAGTTAAAATTGCGCTATTTGGAAAAGAAAAATCCTTAACTGATGAAATAGAAACAAAAGCAGGCAAATCGAATTTGAGAGATCTTATTTCTTCCGGAATATATATTAATTCACTTACCGATGAAGGAGAAATATTCAGTGTTATCCCAACCTTATCTCCAGTTTCCCTCCAATATTTCTGCATATACAACAAAGACAGTGAAAGTGAGGAAATAACGGCTATTGCTAAAATATTACGACGCTTATTAACTACCGAATCTTCTTTTGATGAAGAAGTAATGGATGGCAAACCTTTCGAAAAATTTCATACCAATTGGGAGTTACTTTATCGTGCACTTCAAGAGAATGGAAAGAATGTAAGTCTTCGTAATATTTATGATCTACCTGACGAGAACTGGAAAAAAATCGAAATACAACTGCAACGGAAAGAGATTGCCTATTGTCATAATAAAATAGAGTTTCCTCCAGATGGTAACATATATGACACAAATCAAAACACTTTTGAGAATCTTGTTGATTATATATTTGTTCCCAAAAAATCGAATAACAGTGGCTTTGACATGGTCATTTTTGAAAAAAAATCAGATGGGTCTGGATATATTGCGATTAATCTTGAGTGTAGGTTTTCTTATCCAAACAAGAAAACAACATTAGAAAGTAAAGAAATATCGGAAAAATATGAACATATGAAAAGCAAATATCTTATGCATGTTAAATATTTAAGTGGGACTAGAAATAATGTACGTTGGGAATATGGGAGATTTTATGACAAGTCTGCTGTAGGAAAACTTAAAATGAGCGAAAATGATATTTACTTAGTTTTTGTAATTTGGAGAAATATAGGAAATCTTGGTAATGATATATTAGATAATGAAAACATAATTATTGTTAATAGAGATAATTTAAAAAAAATCTACACTCCATCACTTGTAACGCGACCACAGTTCTATAGTGACGAACTCCAAAAAATCAAAGATATTAGATATGAAAATTGAAACCTGTAATACACAGACTAAAATAAAATGATAAAATTAAAGACGAAACTTTTATTACTTATTGCTAATGTTAACTATCAGATTTCCTAAATAAAATTATCCATTTATTACCCATAATTGCAAATTTTTGTCTGTCTATATCTCACCAACACAGACCAAGTTCTATAAGAAAATTTTTTTCGGAAATCTATAGCATAAATTCCGGGGATTATCGATAAGTGTATGCCAATGATTTCGATAAAAATAACAGTGCTCCTCTTCCCTACCATTCCACTCCGCCCTATGATCAAAGATTTATTTCTCAGCGCATTATAGCTTTTCCAATATATATCACATCATAGATGCAAACGTGAAGAATCTTCACGATCAAAAATCACGTGAGGATTCAGGTCAGAATTCAGAACTAATAAACGTATCCACTTGAACACTTATCTTCATGTAATATCAAGTCAAGACGCCATGAGATATTTCCTCATCAGTGATTGTTGTACTAAAAATTTTTTATTGATACACGCAAGGAATAAATTCAAAAGTTCGGATCTCTACCCGTGATACATGAAGTCATTACGTTGCTACGTCTATCCGCCTATTTATTCCTCCGCGAGATTACTCAATGACTTTATCCTTTCATTCCCCTCTACATGAAATACCATTATCCGCATCCCCATACATTATCCATATCGTACTCATATTTACTTTGTGTTTGTGAGATAGTGAAGACAATCTGAACGGCGACCATGCAAAGCTTCATCTTTTTTGGACAGTAGCTTGATCAAATGTCACGGTCTTCCATGGATGACATGTTTGATAACATTCCAAATAAAAAAAAATCACGTGCGCGTGAACAATGTTCACGCCGATCACTTTGCCAAGAAAAATTTTTTATTAATATATGCAAAAAATAAATACAAATGTTCGGGACGTAGCCCCGTGATACATGACGTCTACATGATTACAGACTATAAGCCCACCCCTATTTTTCCATGCTAAAACCTATTTATCCGACTTTCCAGTAAGGTTGCTCGATGACCTATGCTTTTTTATTACCCTTTCTCTACTTTGAGAATCAGAATCCGGCTTCTGTGCCTCCTCCAACAACCATGCAATATGTCCGAGGACTTTTTCGACCTTATCTTGCAAATCTTCATCTTTGTACACAACAGTCACTGGTTCCGATAGCTTGAACGAAGGCTTCCCCTCGATATACGAACATTCCATAAAATACCACTCTTTCGCATCTGTGATAATTCCAAAAGTCTTTCCTGTAAACACATCTCCTTCTTCCATCTCACTTGCTTTACGTTTACGGTTCGATAAAGCAGATTCAAGTTGTACAGCATTCTGGGCAATACCCTTAAAAATATCTTCGTCCTTTACTTCTGTCACGCCAACAGTTTTTGTGGTTTGGAGTAAGTCTATTGCGAAATCAACTGGTCCTTGTCCATTTGGTCCTGTGATATTTTTTTCTGGTCGAAGCTCGAACTTCCCTTCGTGTAGATTCGCTCCGGCAACAAGGTAAGAACATACGTATTGTGATTTTGATGCTTCATTTCCGCTGATTGGAATGGACTTGAGACGGGCATTTAGTTCGGCTATAAGATGTTTAAGTATCGCCCGGGAAGAATCATCTTCCAGATCTTTGATCCCGCAAGTGAAAGGCGGAAAGACAGATAATGAAGGGTCCTCTGATTCACAGAGTTCGTAAAGCTGGCACACTTTTGGGAAAGTCCAATCCGAGAAAGCTTTTGAGGGTGTTTCTATGAATACGGTAAACTTTAGATTGTTCTTTGATATGAATATGCAGAGCATCTCACGAAGGTCTTGATCATTATGAGGGAAGTATTTCTCTCCATCATTCATTAAGTTGAGTTCCGCCCCATCATTTTCAAGTGCGGGTGGTTGATACATCTTGCGTATATATTCCTTGAGGCCTTCGAGAGTCGCATGTTCGATATTTGCAGTCCACTTATTTGGCTTCCGTTTCGGGTGAACAACGACGTCGAAGTCTACAATGCAATGTTCAGTTAGAAAATTCTCACGAAATCTCTCTTCCAACTATTTTATACATACCATGTGTGGACTTGTTGAGTAATGCCTGCAACGAAGCGACCTGCTCAAGTAATTCTTGTTCACGGCTCGAAGCGGTGGTGGCCTCTGGCGGAGAGACTAAGACATGAATATGTTCTTCAGGAGGTGAGTCTGGAAAGTATTTCGAAATCTTTTTCGTTGCAAGGAGCTCGTCCCCGTCATTGAGTGTGAGATTGCTTAAGAGATCGTCCTGATCGTCAGGAATTTCCTTTTTCCATAGCTTGAGCCTGTCTGCAGGAAAATTGTCGAACTCTGGTGCCTTTTCTGCCTTAATAGCTTTCTTGAGTTCGCTAATAGGTTCGTCTCTACTTATTTTAACAGAGAAAGCGTTCGCGGTTGTATTTCCTTTAACAAGACAGAATAAAGTGATAGACATATTTCCGACTTATATAGTATTTTTTGCGAAATGTTATTGGCTCAAAGTGCGGTATATGAGGACAAGAGTAAAAAGAATTTATTTGCGAAAAAAATACTGAGGCCTAGTATATGTGAGAAATTATTCTGTTTCACAGACCTGCCGTATGATCAGCAATTGCATGGTGCAACGAACGCCTAATCACTGCGCCTCCATAACCGTGAAGACTCTTCTCGCTTATCACCTGATATAGTGCTACTTTTTATATAGGCTAGATTGGTTCGGATAAAAATGTTAGATTTTATAGTCCTGGACCGCATCATTACACGTGACCCATTTCTCATGTACAGTACAATAATAATACTTTATTTATGGAATAAAAGAAATAAAAAAAACGTTGCCGGAAGGGTCCTAGAGGGACCAAGCCGACCTACAATACATAAAATTGCGAATATACCGCTACATGATGCTCTATAATATTTAAATTTCTACAATAATATGAATTTTATCGTTAGGAGGTTGCTGGGGAAAATGCCTAGAAATTAATTGATATGGGAACATTTCTTCTCCACGTTGGCCTTGCCTATTATTATATTGGCTAATTTGATCACTAATAGTTATAACCACTCCTGAATCGATCTTGCGAAGAATAAAGTTGGTAGGAAGAATATTTTCAAATAATGATGGCCACCTTTCCTTAATCATAGGTCTTAACTGATCGACCGTCTCGTTGGTAGAGATCTTAAGCGTAGTAATACTATGTCTTGTTACACTTTCGGGCTCGGCGCTGGGGATAACAAGGCAATTAAGAGTTAAAGTATTGGCCATTGTCTGGTTCCTATTTCCAAGGACTCATGGTTAGAAAAACTCGCTCCCATACATACATAACTTCTAGCATAAACATACCTTATTTTGCGTTAGCTACGCTAGTGAAACTATTTTCTCTGGGAAAGTTTTTTGCGGAAAGTTGGCTGAACTTCCACATACCTCTACATGCTTTATATATGCCTGGGAAAAAGTTAAGGAGGCATGAGGCGTAATTAGTATTGTCGTATGATGCCAAGAGCTCTATGAAAGCACATGTAAACGGAATCCTCTTACCTTTTCACATGGAGATCTACCGGAGAGACATAGTTGGCTTTACGCCTGCTGATCTCGGAATTGCGACTCCACTAGCCTTTCATAACATATGCTTTTGTCAGCACTATTTACTTTTAGAGTTGGTCCTGTGTTGCATGTAGACCTCCTTTCACATTTTTCTCATGATTGTTCGGGAAAAAAAATAAAGAATAAAGGTTAATATGTTTTTCGAATATATATGTGAAAATTAATATGTCGCACAAACCCTGCCTGGTGATCGGCCTTTTTCTGTCACACAATCTGTGGCTCAGCAAATTCTTCCGAGCTGATGATCACTATCCCGGGTTGACGATCAGTATTCCGGACTCACCTTCGGTAAAATTTTCCGCATTAAATATATTACTTTATTATAGCAATCATGGCAAATAATAATCCCGAAACGCTTGCTCAGTTTTATGGACTGTTTTTATATAAGAAGAAGGATATATAATAGCTATTCAGGAGAAACTCGGTATTGGCCCTGGCAATGCAAATGAATTAGTAGTGCCTTCAGATTCCGAGCTCATGGGGAAAACACTTGCCGATTCTTACAAGCTATTGTTAGAATTGGTGGGGGATTTAATTCCGATACAGGAGAAACTTGGTATTGATCTCAATCCTGTTCTAGAAGTGGAACTTAGAAGGGATAAAACCTCTTCAGATAAACCAATTAGATTTTTTGATTTGCTTTTATCTTTAGAAGATGATATAGTAGTAATTCAGGATAAACTCGGTATTATTGGCTATACCAATCAAGAAAGGGCAGAAGAAGTCGATGAAAAAGCAAGAGCATATCTCCAAAAGTTTGAGGAATTCCACGGTCCATTAGAAGATGTTCCAATTGTGATTTTACAGAAATATGGTGAAATGGGAGTAAATAAAATTCGGTTTACTGGAGAGGGGCATCCGCTATTTCCAAATCTCTCTCCTCAACAATTGCACGAAATATTCGTCAAAAATTCAGCTAACACCGATCAGTGCCCATTTCTAGAACAGGTAAGCTAATCTATATTTTTTGTCGCACAATCTGACCGAAGGCGCTGTGCATGGCCCAGCAAATTCTTCTGAGCTGAAGATCACCGCTCCGGATTAGTAAGATCAGTAGAGTTTCACCATTCTGCTTGATTGTCGAGTAATGCTACCGAATAATTCCTTGGCGCTTGTCTGATTATAGCTATAGTGGAGTGATTGGCACCAGAGTCCACAGTCATAGATATATTGGAGTTATCAACACTATACCGGGTGTTATATAACCGACCACCACTCTGGAGCGATGGTCTAGCTAGAATACGGCGTTCACTCAATCTCCTTGATAATTCGTCGTTGATAAAATTTTTTAAGGATGCAACATCTCTTGGTGTATTATGTGGTATTTCCAGTTGCCTTGCGAGTTGATGGATCGGATCTAGGGGATGTACCCGAATAGGCACGAAATTCTCAACATGGATATTTGGACTAAGCGAGGAAACCAGCTGATCTACGGCCTCTTTGCTAATATTATTACACCCTTCCAAATTGAGGTATTTTAAATTAAGACATGAACCAGCAATTTCTTTGATAGTTATATCGGTAATATTACAAAAGCTAAGGTCGAGTTGCTGGAGCCTTGGGCAAGAACGAATAACATTACAAATTGATGTTTCAGAATATTCTCTACGATTAGAGATATTTAGATATTCTAATCTATGGCATGACTTCACGATTCTCCATAGACCACTGCCATCTACTTCTCGAGTACTAAAGCCACCTGGTCGATCAATGCATAGATTGAGATACTTCAGATTCGGGTATGAACTCGCTATCAGTTCTAATGCTCTATTACTAAATGCTATGCTATTTATGAAACTCAAGTGGGTTATATTTGAGCATGAATGTACAATGCTTATGATTTTTTTATCTGAAAGTGAATGGTAGTATGATACTTCGAGATGAGTTACATTTGAGCAATAAACTGGCGTTTGCTTCCTACGTACTAACTTTATGAATTTTTTCAATCGAGAGAGATCCTTTGCACGTTCTATCCTTATGAATTTATTTAATCGAGGGTGATCCTTTGCACAGTAATTTTTATAATCATTTGGAAGAGATTGTCCAGGATATAAGTCTTTCCCTCTCAATTCAATACGTCTCCATAGAATAGGGGCACCACATCTGTACTAAAGCCGGCTAACAAATAGAGCAGGGTGGAGGGATTTATCTATCAATAAAAAATATAGAATCTGCTCTAATAGTTCTGGTAAATTAAAAATGCTTGAATGCGCCATAAATATTCTGTTTTATATGTTGTATCTTTAAACGAAAAAAATAAAGTTAGCTATAGTGCAAAGTGATCACTGCTCCGGACTATTGGTTGGGTTGGGAAAATCAGTCATAGCTCGGATCTGACTATCAGATAATGTCGAAATGTAATTTACTTCTTTGAATGGGATCGCAAAATTATCTTCTAATAATAGTTTTGAATTGCGTATATCCAAAGTTGCACCACTTTCTCGGAACCAAGGACCTCCCAAGGTTAAATCAGGAAAATGGTCTGGCCAATCTGGTCCAACAACTATGAATTCAGTGGGTATGCTTTTATACTTCTTGCCATTTTCAAAACCAATATGCAGATTGACCTTTCCTAATGTGGGATAGAATGCATCCGGAATCTCAATATGATTGCTTTCACTATGATATGTAGTTCCTAATTCACCAATATGTTTTTGGCTAATGTAATTTACATTGGCGCTCGTATTAATTGATGCCTCAATAGGAATATTTTCTTCGATTACACAATTCACGAATACCATTTTTATTATAGCACATATAATATTCAAATATAAAAAATAAATTTCTATCACTGCGGACTGGCATTTATCGGATAGCTAATTAGCCTTATTTTTTATTATATGCATTTTCTCCTGATCTTTCTTTTGGGCTAGGCGCTTCCTAATTCTTTGATGCTTAATCATGTTTACTATCTCATCAATATCAGAATCTGATGAACTGGATTCTGATGAACTACTCTCAGATGACGAACTATATTCAGACGAACTAGTCTCAGATGAGCTTGATTTAGATGAACTACTCTCAGATGAAGTAGACTTGGGCGGGATATTTGTTAAGGCTGTTAGATGCTTTTGATCACTTTCCATTTTGATTATTTATATGCTAAACTTAATAACTTTGACTGAAAAAATATGCAAAGTGTCTGACTCTACCCACTTCAAACTACAATCTGCTTAACCTTTCTCGGTCGTGCCTTCCTTCGTTGCTTATGAGGGATATCCTCGCTCTTTCTTAACATAGCGCCTCTTGACCCTTTTTTACCAATAAGCGAGGGAACTATTTCATGAATTAAGTCTACCACAGTTTCCCTATCCACACATTCATCCAGATCTTCCACTACATATTCGTCCAGATTTTCCAATCCATCTTCTAAGGATCCTACATCTCTTTCCAGTCTTTTTACTGACTTTTTATACTCAGAATAGTAGTTATCCATTTTTTCATCCAGTGCCCCCATCTTTTCAGAAAGCGCACTATCCATATCTGCAATCCGCTTAGCAATTTTCTCATATCTGGACACTTCCTGCTCAATAGGTGTACTATCGGATGAGTGGTTTTGGTCGGTTACCATTTTTACGATACTTTATATATGCTATATCTTGCCTGGGCGAAAAAATAAAATTAATAAACTCCTTTGATCTATCGATTATTTTCATCGAAAAGCTCACGTAGCTGTCAGCGCTCTTTTTGGATTTTATTAGATTGTTGAATAAGAGCTGGATCTCTGGCATAGTTATTAATAATTTCAGGATTCACTCCGGCTTTTGCTAATTCCTCTCGAAATCGGTATTGTCGTGAGGCACTTGCTATGACTTCTTTTCTATCATTATTTTTCGGTCCTAAATTTATACTATAGCGGTGAATATCCCACTTATTACCAGTCTTGGCACAATATTCTGCCCTTTTCTCTATAGTAAACTTCTCCTTTCTTTTATCTGGTACGAGAGACTCTTTCTTCTTTTTACTATATTTGCGCCGGGTTAGGAGATCTTTGACACATTTGCGGGCCTCCCAACCCTGTAATGAAACACCAAGTTCTTTGTTGTGTTTACTCAGTTGCTTTGGACTGGACTTAGCAGATAAGTTATATTTTTCTGAAAACTGCTCTAGGATCGATTTAAAGTTATTTGTTTTGGGTTTTCGGGCCTTTGGGGTTGCTTTTGTCATAGCCATGCGATATCTTACGGCCAATTTGAAATTTGCAGATAGATAGGATATGCGAAAAAAAAATACCCCTCAATCATAAATTTCGGGACCTAACAAAATTTGCCGAAGGTGCGTTGCTAGTAACTATACATATTGATAATATCAGATATTTCATCATTTTCTGCAGACTCCGATTCCGACTCTGGGTTGTGATCAGATTCTGAGTCTTCTGTTTCCGTATCACCTTTAGAATAATTATTTCCTGCATCGAGACCTATATAATGTCTTAATGCGATTTTTGTGAGATTGCTAAGATGCTGAGGGGTCGATTTGGGTCCACCATGAGTCCTGCAAGCATGTTTACCTCCTGTTTTTCTTAAATCCTTTGGGAGAGACTTATAAGGCTTTTGTTTTAAGAATTCATTAAAGCTTCTAACATTACCAATATTACGTTTCCCATTTTTATCGTAGACAGGATCACGTAACTTTCTAGCCTTAATTGCCTCTTGAATCCAGATAAGCAATTCCCTTGCACGTTCTGGATCCTTTTCCATAGAGAGAAATCGTCGTGGGTCCTTCTTCCCCTTATCCTTTTTATAACCTATGCAATACCAAGTATAACCCCTTTTATACCATGCGGGTGGATCCTCGGATTCTGGTTCATAGTGTATAATCTGAAGAGATGATACTTCTGAAGGTCTCATGCTCAACATCACAATCACATCTGCGAGATTCTCTCGATTAGGTATTTTAGAAGTATCTATATTTTGAAGCCTTTCACGAACCCTCGCTAAGGAGAAGTGTGGGGGGATTCCATCCGAGTTAGCCATTGTCTCATCAGTTCGTTCTTTCTGAATTTTATTAGACTCTTGAATAAGTTCTGGATCTTTAGCAAGGGTATCAATAGTTGTGGTATCTACCCCACCTTCTGCTAACTTCACACGGAATGTTGACTGACGCGAGGCAGCAGCAACGATTTCATTTTCATCTTTATTTTTCGGATCTAACTCCAAATGATGGGTGAAAATGTCCAAAGCAGTACCGGCCTTAGCACAGTATTTTGCCCTTTCTTCTATGGTGAGCTTTTCCTTTCTTTTGTCTGGCACGAGAACCCCTATCTGCTCTTTGCTAAATGCTTTTCTTTTTTTAGTGCCTCTGACAAGAAGATCTTTAATGCTCTTGCGGTCTGTCCAATCATGTAGTTGAGCATTAAGTTCTGGAGCATGTTCTCTTAATTGTTCTAAGGTGGAGTTGGCCGACAAATTATACTTATCTAGGTGCTGTTCTAAAATCGTAACAAAGTTATTAGTTTTCAGCTTTCGAGTCTTCGGGATTGTTTTTCTGGTAGCCATGCTGATAATAAGTAGTTATATTTGTTATCTACTCATACATACATAGAAAAAGTTCAATTCGAAAATAATTATCCTGATAATTTACTATATGTGGACCACTCATGGCCGGTGAAAGCTATCGGAGGGTTAGAGAAAGGGGACAAAAAGAATATTATAACTTATTGCGAGCTCTCTATGAGGTCACAAGCTCCGCCCAGAATATGTTTTGCATAAATTTGAAAATTGCAGGTAGATAGGATATGCGAAAAAATAATAATAATTTAGAATTTTATATCGCCTATGAGTAAAGAACATAAAGACCCTCTTACCTAATCACCTCACCTATAAATCGGCTTCTTATTCGCTCTTTACCAAAGCATACCATTCTCCTGAAGTATGCTTATATTTTTTGTCATTTCTTGTCGATATCAAACCTACCATAGATGACCGTTCTCTTGAAGTATGCTAATACCCTTTTGCCACTCCTCATCGTCATAAACATATGTCCGGGGCTTACCTGCATTCTCGAAGTTGCGGAGATATATTTCTTCACTTATTAGCCTTTCTCTCCTAGACATATAAAATATATCGTTTACATTCATACCGTCTTCTTTCGCGAAATCGATGGCATCTGCGTCCGACATCATTCTGTCCCTATATTCATGAGATAGTCTGATATCTTTTTCTGTGATGGTCACGAATACGTCTGGATCTTTGCCATGATCGATAGCCCATTTCCTGAGGCACTCTTCTCGCTCTTGTCTAGCCAGAAGTATGGTAGATGATACTTCGTTACTAGATTTAATAGACTTGGGTGACTTACAAGTCTCTGGTTCATCGATTACTGGTTCAGGTCTTTTAGAAGTCTCTGATGTACCAGATGTTGGGGCGACCTGAGCACGTGTATCTTCTGCCATATAGTCGAAAAGTGCCTGAGTCGAATCATCCTGATTACTGGCCTTATTATCTTTACTGGTATTAGGTGAAGGCTTATTCTTTCTATCGGCTACTCTGTTATGGCGCTCTGACTGAGGTAGGATTATTTTCTGTGGAATGGTTGGTCCCTCTAGGACCATTTCTGGCACATTGAATATGGGTATGTCTGTAGTCTCATTTTCGGGCAAGTCGTCTTGAGGTATATCGGAAAATTCTTCCATATCACCTAGGCCGTGTTCACAAAGCTTGACTATGATTTTGGAGCGGTCAAGGATATACTGCCACTCTCTTTTTCCGCCTTCCACTCGTACTTGTTTATACTCAGTAATATTTTTCTCTGATAGCTTCTTACCGAAAATGTTATTAGGTAATGCCTTTTCACCATTATCCCCACACCATTCAAGATATTTTTGGTATAAAAATGCTTTGCTACTGGTCCTGATTCCACTACTCTCAGCCCAAGATGCAATATGGTCAATTATAAATCGAATGGGATTAGAAAGCTGATTTCGCATTGTTTCTACCTTCATTTTAGTTGGTGGAATCTTACGTGGCTTCCATTCTGAAAGATTAAGATTAAGCAAATATGTCATAAATGATCCTGGCGTATCAGGGTGCTCAAGAATTCCCCCCAACTGATCGAAATATGTGAAGTTACTTTTACAGCGGGGAGAAACATCTAAACATACAATACGTCCATCCCCATTTCCACTCGAATTGGGGTATCATGATTACTTAAAACCATAAATCCGGGATAATGACCACACTCTTGAAATTCTAATCCCTTACGCTCAATCGAGACGTAATCTTCTGTAATAAGGGACTTTAGATGGTCATTCGCTTTATGCCATTCACCACTGGCCATTCCCGCCTCATTCATAATTATAAGCTTGCGTCCTTGAATAGCACTGTTGAATTTTCCAAGAATTTTTCCAAGGTCGGAAGTTGAATATATGAGCTCTGGGCCAAATAAGCTTTTTCGAATGAAATCGGTAATAATGTTTTTCCCACAACGTGGTGGGGAACGTAATACAAGAATAGTTCCAGGGATTATGCTAGGATGCTGGACTAGGAATGCGAACCATTTCAGAACATATTTGGAAAGATTTTTGTCCCCATTGCACCAGATATATTCTATATGCCAGATAATTGGATTTACGAGATCGTAATTAATATGGGAAGCTGGCTTTGCTTTGAATCCTAAGAAAAGATTAAAGAATTTGGTTTTCGGCGGAATAGTATTTGGAGGATATGGTAGGAAATCGATATCCGCATAAGCAATCAAACCAGTATTGAATGCATTTTCTATTAAAGATTGTAATTTTATCGCTTCCCCACCTAACTCGACGATATTAATCGTTAATTTACCGATATCTAACTTGAATCCCATATCAAAGTATAGGCCACCATCTGATTTTTTGTGCTTGAGAATCCATGTCTTTGATTTTTTTTGAACGCAGGCGATCGTTGCTTGGATTGTATTATACACTTCATTACGTGTAAATCTTTTCTTAGAGGTGCACATGGATATTAAATCCCACCATACGAAATGATCATTAGGGTCAGAAATTCTAGGCCGACTCTGTTTCTCTGGAATTGGAAGCTTTTTTTCC